CACCGGGATCATCAACAAAGAAGGTCCTGCGCTCCATGATGCTTTCAAAGCTTTACACCTTAACTCCGACGCCTCCAAGACAATGTGCGCTAGTTTGGTTGGGCTCTGCAAGTACCCTAACGTTCATCCTTACAGTCTGAAGTTCCCTTCACCCAAGCCAAAGACAGCAAGGCCGCCACCTAGCGGCAAGACGCCGCTCAAGGTCGTCCATTTCAGCGATACACATGTGGACCTCCTCTACGAGCCTGGATCCAGCTACGAATGCTCCAAGCCCATCTGTTGCAGATCTTGGTCAGATAAATATGCACCGGGGAAAACAGAACACCCATGTGGACCATTTGGAAACACAAAGTGTGACCCACCACAAATACTCCAGGAGAGCCTGCATGCTGCTATCGCAGACATTAATCCAGAGTTCTCCGTTTACACCGGCGATGTGGTGGCCCACGATATCTGGTTGGTTGACGAGGCTGAAGCTTTGAAAGGGCTCAATGCCACGTACAGTGCAATGGAGAAAGATATCGGCACTGTGTACGCTGCCATAGGAAACCATGACACCGCACCACTCAACCTCTTTCCGGCGGATGCTTCGAGTGAAGCCGATCCCAAGTGGGCGTATGAGGCTCTTGCAGAAGATTGGTATGGACTCACGGGCGTTCCTTCCGTCAAATCTGCGGATCAATTTGCCTCGTACTCAGCCGTCCATCCTAACAGCAATCTGCGCATCATTTCTTACAACAGCATCTTCTACTACATATACAACTTCTATATGTACCAGGAACCAATGGAGAAAGACCCACGCGGACAATTTGAATGGCTCATCAAGGAATTGCAGGCCGCCGAGGACGCGGGCCAACGCGCATGGCTGATCTCTCACATTCCATCCGGTGTATCTGATCACTTCCGCGACCATTCGGAATACTTCGATCAGATTGTGCAGCGTTACGATGCCACCATTGCAGGACTGTTCTATGGTCATACGCACCGGGATGGGTTCCAGATCGCATACTCCGACTACAACAACCAAGACTGGAAAACGGCTACTGCAATGGGTTATGTCGCCCCAGCGGTGACGCCCACGGAAGGCTCACCCTCTTTCCGCGTCTACGATATTGATCCAGTCACATTCAGCGTCATGGATTACACTCAGTACATCGCCAACATCAGCGATCCATCCTTCCAGACAAAGCCAAAATGGGTGCCCTATTACTCCGCCAAAGCAGACTACGGATCCAAGATCTCTCCTCCGCTCACCGATCCGAAAGCCGAGATTAGTCCGGCTTTCTGGCACAACGTCACCGTCGCCATGGAACGCGATCCTACCGTTTTCCAAGATTACTGGGCGAGACGTGTTCGCGGGTTCGAAGTCGAGAGCTGCGATAACGACTGCAAGAAAAATGAGATCTGTCTTCTTCGTGCCGCTAATGCACAGTATAACTGTGAGAAGCCGAAGGCTTTCAACTTCTCTAAGCGGGATGGACAGGAGGGTGATATCTTGCTGGAAAAGGAGCCTCATATTGACTGCGATCATGCTGGAATGGCGACACTGGTCTCAAAGATGGCGTATCGGGCTAGACTTGAGCGGAGAAAGGAGCTTGAGGCTTGAAGGGTCATGACTGATCATTTGGTAGTTGATACATTTAATTCTGGAAGTAATACCTACCGAAGCTAATCTTGATAATTTTTGCCATCCAATCGTCTTTCTTCCTATCGCTGCTTTTATCATAGGTGAAGACCTGAAGCAAGCGTTAAGCTGCGCTTTTGCAGGGGGAAGCGGCGGTTATAGAAGACTGTCGGTTCGCTGCTATAAATATATATCTCCATAACAGGAAAATTGAATCTCCCCCAGTATGGAGAGCACAGCAATTAATAAAAACAAATTGCTGCTCTATGCTCTTTATACTTTTCGCATCATTCACTATAGGCGGAATGCATAAGGAATGAACCACTTGGTGCCTGGCTAGAATAGGTTGAGGGGAGCCATAGCAACACCAGCTGCCATGGAATATATTATTGGTATAAGTACAATTATCACAACCAGAGATCAAGCAGTAAAGGTCGAATCAGGATCTGCGGGAAGAAGTCCCTGACGATCCATCATCGCAACAAGATCCCCATCCATCATGAACTCTCCAAGCTCCATACCAAATGGCGAGAGGCTGAACTCGTCCCCTGTGAGACCTGCTCGAGTACCATGGAGAGTGGGCAGGGCTGTAGTAGAGGCATCGAAGTTCGTTTCTGATAAGCAGCAATGTTAGTATAACCCCAGTCACACAAAGAAGGAAAATGAACTAACCTGGATCGTTCAAGACCTTGCTGAATTGCTCCAAGTAATACCGACATCGATCAACCAACCGGTTTCCCTCATCGAGCCTGGAGAGTGCTGCTACTGCACGACCGGGATATTGTCTGGCTTTGCTTGCTTGATCTGTCATCGGCGAGTTTGTTAGGCTGGTATCACGATAGACCCAAACCACTCCGATGAGGACCAGTGCCGCGTTAAAAGCTTAGAAACTGTCAGTATCGAGAACTCCAGAGCGAGAAATTAGGAGCATACTATAGTATAAGGAGAACCACCAAGCTCCCAAGAGGCTGCGCTTCCATCCTGGCTCTGATACAACGCGGTGTACGATATCAATGATCCCCATCGCGGAGTCTGCGCATATTTGCAAGCTGTTCATACCAATCTGTTGCAACAATCTCATGTCCTGCGAATCGCGATGAGGGGACCTGCTAGCGGTGATGAATTTGACCAATATCGGGCGGTGGAGCAAGACTCGAAGATTAAGATATCGCAAGGTCAGGATGACTTGAAACTTCAACGAGAGATATTGTGAATTGGACGACATCTGATCATGAGGCAGATTCTCAATGCTAGCCGACGATATAAGTTGTAATGGACGGGCAAGCGACCGTTCCCAGGAGAACAGATGCTGTTCCAAGCTGAAGATGTGGGCCACGGTTTCGCTGACCGGCAATGGACCATCGCAGCCGATGTTTTGGCTATAGAGAAGCTCTAGGACGTTCCAAAGCTGCTTATACAGCCCACTTGTATATGTCAGAAAACTGGACTTCCATGGGTGTCAAGCCTAACCACTTACATTGTCGAGTTGAAGAACGCAACGCTCAAGGCCGCTGTCTCGTCATCCACAAGTCCTGTTGAATTTTCAAATTCCCGTTTTATGGGCAGCTCGAGCTTGACGTAGCTATCTGGTATAGCTGCCGGTCTGCCAAAAGTCATGCTCAGAGTTCTACATTGTCAGCATATGTTTGGCGTGATGGAAACTTAGCGACTTACCGGTCTAAAACCACACAACCGTACCAAGTCCGCTTTCGCATCTCCTGCTCAATAGGAGAAAAGACTCTGGATGCATGCCGCGAATGTAATCCAAGCTGAAGGGCGGCTTTGACGGCCAATCCGTGGACAGTCCATGCTTGTACTGACTTTTGCGTGCCTTGGAGGTATTGGCCCATCAGAAGCAAATATTGAACTAGGGAAACACAGTCAGGAAAATATTTCAGAGGAAAGCAAAAGTTGAGAGTTACTCGCCCACTTCTAGGGTTGTCCCTCGCAAGATTTCACTCCCACATAAACCAAGGCCACACTGATAGAAGGCATCCGATTCTTTAATCCGAGCATCTGCACTCGCACTTCCAGGAATCGCAGTGATAGTAGCCATAGCCAGAACCATGTTCAATAAACCAAGCCAAGTCCTCCGTACCCCATTGAAGTTCTCCCGTGCCATCTGGTGATATGTGTCCAGGAAGACGGGTGGGTATATGTAAGGAAATAGCAACCCTGTGTTAGAGAAATAGCGTTCGATGAGCTCCAAAGTGTTTGCCTGCGGCGGTAAAGCAAAAATGTTCACCTGCATGCGCCGATCTTGACCTCCCTGGCGTAGTGGTGATGATGGTCTCGATGCATTCACGAAGCCACCCTCAGCGGCGCCAGGTGAAGGGAAATACCCCGGTTGGACAATAGCGCTCGACAAATGTCGAAGAAATGCAATATTTGAAGAAGGGCCTAGTAAATCTTTAACAATCTAGAACTCCTTAATCAAGCAGATACACTTACCAAAGAACCCGGAATCTTCTTCATCAGCAAAAATAACCGCACCCATACCATCGACTGAATCCTCCGTCCCAATCAAATCAGGCATTCGTGCAGCAATCCTCGTCTCATCCTGACTCTCTTTAGCATTTCGACCAGAGAGAGCAGACTCCCTTTCCCTGCCCCTTTCGGGCCCATCATCAACCCTTTTCGCCAACCCATCCAGATCACCCCTCACAGCCCCATATGACTCCTCAAGCCTTTTTACCCTATCTTCAAGCCCATGAAGATAGTCCTTATGCACGATGATATTAGCGGCTGTTGGTGGCGGCGTATAAACACACACGAACCCCAAATCCTGACATAACGAGCAGCTGGGCCGCTTGCCGTCACATCGGGATTTGCGGGTTCGGCATGCATCACATGCGACGGATACACGACGCCGTTTAGAGGGCCGCCCGTTAGGTGTTTCGTTATCAGGTGAATTTGATGCCATTTGATAGTATCGTATGATTAGGGGTTGCCGGGATGTGGTTGTTTCTGGGGATGTATCGGGCGGGGGTAGACCGGATGGCTATCCGGTCTTGCCGGGGTGTGTGAATAACATCCAGTTCTGGAGGACAATGGCAGTTGATATAATAATACCTCGACTTTTCAAGATATATTTCTCAATTTGATGGGGTATACTTGTTCTCTTTGATCATTTCTTGCAATATATGTATCTTAATGTTTTCGGACTTTGGTTCAGGGAAGGTATTTGAAAAGGGCGCGAGGATGGAGATAACGCTTTGTTCATGAATGTGCTGTGATATGAAGCAACCTTGTATATATACACCGTTTAATCCAACAAATATCTACCCAAGACATAATAAACTCATGGAATCGTAAAGCGAACTAGCCGCGTCCAACAAAGAAACATCGGAGCCCAAAAACACCATAGACAAAACAATCAACTACCTTCGTGGGCGGATATCACTATCTCCGGGGGAAACTGAAGCCCCGGTGATGAAGTTGTGGGACTGACCTCGGAAATAGATGGTGCTCTACTTCGCGAGATCGGCATTATACCGAACGGACTCAATTGTCGTTTCCACCCCCCAGGCGCGGCCACAGGAGGACACTGCAAAGTTGATGTCTCAAATATTCCTCCACTTGGGAGCGAATTTGAGTGAGTTTGACGGGATCTTGGCCGCGAGGCAGCTGGGGTAGGCACTGAACGACGTGTTGGACTCCGGGGCCTCCTTGAGCTGCCTTCGCCATTATCCACGGAATCCCTGCTGCTTATGAAACTCCCAGCTTTTGATCGGTTATCGGGTGTAGATGACCTTTTGTATTTGTCTCTCTGATTTTGGAGATGTATGTTTTTGTATTCTTCTCCCGGGGTCTCGGGGTAAGTTGTTTTCGCTTCGGGTTTGAACCCCGTTTTCTCGATTTGGTTGTGGGCTTTGGCGGTCATAATATTACTTGCTGTATTAAAGAAGCGGGCAACCTTTCGTCTTCCTAGATCGGGCTGAGTGGTAATGGTTTGATTGGTAGTAGGGCGGCGTATGGCTGTCATTTCAATATCGGGTTCCTGTCTCTCGGCACTTGTTCTGGAGTCTGGTCGAGTACTGCTTCCGGTGTCTGAAACAGCACAATCGCAATTTGGGCATTTTCCTGCAACAGTCTCTTCTTGTTGCCCATCTTCCTTTCCCGCGGCTTCCATATCTGCAGAGAGGAGGAGATACAGTGATCCCAACACAGCGAGTGCAGTACCAACGATTGGCGCCCATTGACCTAAAGATTCATCTGTTAGTAAATTTATGCCATTTGTGTCTTCAATCGCCAAGGTCAGATAAGGCACAGCATTTACTTACCAATGCTTTGTATAGGCTCTGTTTGGTGGCTCATTGGCCTACTCAAAAGTTCATCTCGCCTTTGACGAGAATTGCCAGCACTGCTGCAGCAAACACCGGTATCTCAACGAGAGCTAACCATTTGCTTAACTTGTCGGTAATCCCAGTCATGTGGTTGATGGTAGCTCCATTGGTTCCCAGAATGGGCTCATCTGGCTTTTGCTTAAGTTTTGCATTTGAGAACTTCTCCCAATTATCGTCCAAGATTTTGATCCACATGGATACCAACGACAGAATGGCAGGGATGCAGCATGCAGCCGCAATGAGCGTAGTAGCATTGAATGACAGCTCATATGGCACTGGAATCACGTAGATATTGTTGGCTGCGTTTAGTCGCAGCGGTGAGACTGGGCCATTCTCCGTGGTACAAGCAATGCTGCAGTTGGAGTCATAGTTAAACACACCACCTTTTTTGCCCCATGTTGAGGCCCAGTAAATGCTTGCTGGGTCGTCACCTGGGCAAATAGTGGGTTTGAGGCGCATGAATTCCACAATTAAGCTCACTAGCCCAGCTAGGAGAAGGACTGTCCAAAGAAAGATTATATCACGGCCGGGGTTGTTGAAGTAGGTCCGGGACAGCCTGACGGTCGCTGGGGCGGTTAAGATGCCGATTGCGCACAGCTGGAATGCCCCATAGACATCCATATCGACAGCGCCTATCAAGTGTTAGATTCATTGATCATTTCGATGGGTCAGACCAGGTGGGAAACATCAACCCGTAGCAAAAGGGTCATTAGACTCACCGTCGACATGAAGCGCAGCAAGCACAATCCCGTGAAGAGCTGCGATAGCGGGGAAGAGTAACACAGCGGCCAGACAGGCGTTCCGAATCCATTCTACTTTGCGAGCGACGACACAGGCTGCAATCAACACATAGTATCTAGAGTGAGCGTCAGTATACCATGGTAACATTGCCAATCTCTTTGTAGGAAACCTACAGGACTCGGGTCCCCGGACCGTATTGACCGGAAACCGGCCAGGCGCAAACAACCTCGAGAGATGGGGAACTTGCAGCAGTTGTCATGTTAGGGGGCGAAGCAGTAGCACGATCCACAAGAAAATGCTCTAGGAAGGTGGTCACAATGGGAATTGCTGGCATTGCATGTTAGCCGCCTCCGGTGACGGTAACTTTAGGATAAAGTAGCAAAAAAGTCATATATTAATGTGTTGTTCTCTATTCCTGACAGTGACTTTATGAGGCTCGACGTGGTATCATAAGAAATGGAGAGCGAAAGAAAGCAGTGCCTCCGGGCCGTCTTATTCACGAGCGCTACTCCGCAGATTGACCATGATCAACAAAGCGAATAGGGCACGCACCTGGGCTGCGAGTTATTTCGTCAGCAACAGCCTCATCTCGGATTTTAGAGCCTCGGTCTAGCTAGGATTGGATAACCCCAGGAAAAGCCTGTATCGTTAAGCTCTAACACTCAGAACGACAAGTGTCCCCGTGATGTTGATTTGGGCGGGCGCAGCAACCCGGGCGTGAATACGAGATGGGGCAATACCAGCTCCCGCTGATTGGCAAGTTAGGCCCTGTTGTACATATCGCGCAGTGGCTGTGTCTGCAGGGCAATTAATTAATGTTCTAAGGAGCAGTCGGAGCTATGAAGTAGGAGAAGTAGGAGAAGTATGAAATATTTAACGATTCAACCCAAAGTTATGAGAACACAAAATGGCTGGGGACGGATATTGACCGAACCATGGGTCGCCCAACAGTAAAAGCCAACATTAAACGGTCGACTTCCTAAAGTGGCAGAACTGCGGGGTTTCCAAGTTTCGCCAATTCCAATAGTCTCGACTCTTATTATTGGCATTTCTTGTCAAGAGCTAAACACAAGCTAATCAGAATGTCACTTGTTTCCCGTGCATGTCTTACTCTTTTTTGATTGATCTTCCTGTTGAGGCTCAGACCCTCAAGACATTTAGGCGAAAATTTCTCTCAATCCTATCCCAGCTCTCGCTGTCGCAACGCTGCATTAGCGTCGAAGAAACTGATTTACTTCGCCTGGCTTCTAGTTCAACTTTAATAGAAGCCCATCCTTGATCCAGAAATCCACTTCCAACACGGACATATTCCACAGCCTTGCAGAGCTTGAGAGGGCCTTCATTAGCAGCTGCGCTCCCACCTCTCTCCCCGGCCTGGTCACAATCATTTGACCTTGTCTATGTGGTTATGAGGGGCAGTCTACTCGATTTCCCCACATACTTGACGATTTCTTGATTTCCCCGGCATTCAAGCATAGGTGATAAGAGAACAACACGCAGGCGGAATTTCTCTGGATTTTTGATCAACACTAAGATCACCATATTTGTCGCGGGATTTTCGCGCAAGAGAAATGCGTCTGCGATAAAAACAAGAGTTGGATCTTTTTCTGCAAATTTATCTTGTTCCGCATTCCGGTATTTTGTCACCATGCCTGACTGCGGCTGAAGCACGATAGAGAGGCTGACTTGGTGCCTGACGACCACAGCTATTACCCAGTGCATGTTCTTGAAGTGAACCTCAGCAAGAGAAAAAACATTCAAAATGGACGACGAACTTGACACATCGAAAATCAAGAGTTGGCGATCAATCATTACCTTAATTATTTTTGTTATAACTAGTAAGTGTGGCTATGCCTACAATGTGAGATTGAGACTTACTTTTACTGATTTGCGGTGCAGATATCATTGTCCTTTTCCCATTTCATATCCCTCTATACCTACCTCGATGGCTCACGAACGGGTTTCTGGACCTATTGAGTGCCATGCGCATAATACCTCACCGAACTCGCTCTCGATCCAATGACAAGCAACCCTTTTTTGTGAAATTTCGCTTTCCATTGAACTTTATCACGGCACCTTTAGTAGCGGACCTCTTCCTTCTCGCTATTTTGGCTATTGGCCGAAAAGAGGTACATGATGGAATTGTCGGGGCAGACAACATTAATCCCATTGATATCATGGTCTTCTTCCTCACACTCGCCTACATTGCGATCTCGATTGACGCCTCTGGCCTCATCAGATACCTGGCCTTCAAGGTTCTTCAAAGGGCAGGCAAGGTCGGCCACCGACTGTTCTTTTACCTATTTGTCTTCTTTTTCGGGTTAGGCAGCTTCATCGGGAACGACCCAATCATCTTGTCCGGTACAGCGTTCCTCGCATACATGACCCGTGTATCAAGCAATATCGTTCACCCCAGAGCCTGGATCCACAGCCAGTTTGCCATAGCCAACATCGCCTCCGCGATTCTTGTCTCCTCCAACCCCACCAACCTGGTCCTTGCTGGCGCCTTCAAGATCAAGTTCATTGTCTACACAGCCAACATGATCGTTCCCGTGGTTGTGACGGCAATCGTCCTTTTCCCGTTCCTGCTATATATCATTTTCGCCGACGAATCCCTCATCCCTCTCTCCATCACAATGCATGAGCTATCTGAGGATCAAAAGAAAAAAGCACCCGTGAACCCCAACATCCCTCATGCCAGAGGAACCGCCGAAGAGAAAGAGGAATCCGACGATAAGGAGGGAAAGCAACTTTCACTAGAAGAGATCATGAACCCATTCTTAGACAAAAAGGGTGCATCTTTCGGGGGGCTCATTATGGCCGCTACGCTTATCACCCTCCTGGCAATCAATGCATCAGGTAAAGAGAATCACGTTTTCTGGGTCACATTGCCCGCTGCTTTCGTTATGTTCTGTTGGGATCTGGCATTTGGTTGGCTCCATCGCCATGACACCCGTGAGATTGCCGCGAAGGGTCGACAGGAGGTCGAGGAGGCACAGGCAGAGCGAGAAATGCGCAAACGAGAGGAGCAGCAAGCACTGCCAGAAAACATGAATCCAGAGACTTTGGGATCGGACCAGTCTGAGCAATATGATGCTTCAGGTCTGCGCGACCGCAGTGAGCACACCGATGACAAAATCTCGCTTAAGAGCACCGATAGTGATATCGCCTCAAAGAACCCCTATTCGGAATGCGGAACTCCATTGTCAGCCTCTGTCCTCGTTGACAAGGAAAAGTTCCCGGAACTACAGCCACCAGGCGGTCTTACGATTGACAGCAAACAACTAGCTCGCGCAACTTCTCCCGAGGCACTGGACTTGAGACAAATAACCGACACGACGATAGATGAGGAGAAGCCGGGATATCCATATCATCAGGACAACGGCCCACGCACGTTGGCGTCGCTCGCTGGTAATGCCTATCGCTGGTCACAGGAGACATTCCCCACCGTGACGGTCGTCGTATCCCACATGCCTTTCGCACTAGTACCCTTCGCTTTTACGATGTTTATCCTGGTGCAGGCGCTTGTCACTAAGGGTTGGGTGCCGGTTTTCGCATACGGATGGGACCACTGGGTAGAAAAGACCGGGACAATAGGCAGTATCGGTGGAATGGGATTCCTATCTGTGATTCTTTGCAATGTGAGTATTGACCAATGGGCTGACCACTTTTCTCTCTCATTTCGAACCCGCTAACTTGTTTTCTTCTGATAATTAGTTTGCTGGCACAAATATTGGCACCACGATTCTCCTCTCGCGCGTTATCCAAGCATGGGCAAAAATACATGAAGCCAGCGGAATTCCCATCAGCGATCGCACATGGTGGGCCACTGTCTACAGCATGGCACTCGGAGTCAATTATGGCGCATTCAGCACTGCGTTTAGTGCTTCGCTGGCTGGGTTGCTGTGGCGGGATATCTTGGCGAGAAAGCACATCCGTGTCGGCAGTCTGGAATTTGCCCGTGTGAACCTTCCCATCATTGCTATCTCCATGGTGGTTGGATGTGCAGTTCTCGCTGGAGAAGTGTATATTGTCAGAAGTGATAAGCCGCACATGCTGGCTTGATGTGTGGATTGCGGGAGGCTGCTGTTTAGATGTTTAATAGATTATGATACTCCCGGTACTTGTTTAGGGTGGCTTTTTGTCACCCGACGGGCAGACGATCTTACGAAGTCAATGAACACCGTTTTACAGTTTTACAGAGCTGTGTCTAATGTATCTTCGACACATGTTTCTCATTGTGAAATTCCATATTCAGGTGGAGTTGTGTTACATTCTATCACTTGATCGACCTTCCCAAGATACGTTAACCCGGCGTATCTAATCACGTTATACTAAAGGCTTCACTCGTCCACAAGGGACTCAACATCCATATTCTCTGAGCGATAGAATCCCAATGCATCAATCATGGGCTTATCATCAAACCGATACAGATAAACCGGTTCTTCAGCATCCGCAAAGTGCTGGTATCTGTACCACGCCGGAACACAGAAGGTATCACCCTGCTCCCAGGTATATTCCTTGTCACCAATAGCCGAGCGTCCTTTGCCAGTGATGACATGATAGACAGCGGACGTAGTCTCGCGCCGGGAAGGCGAAACCTTTGATGCGGAAATGCGCTCAGCACATCCTCCAAGGACGCGACTCACTATGAAAACCATTAGCCATCTTTTCATCCACCGAGTCAAACAATAAAAGAAGGAACACATACCCTCACGTCCATCCTCCTTCAGGTATCTCTTAGTGACCCAATCTCCAGCAATCCCATCCAACTGCGCCTTCATGGTAACCCACGGGAAAACCAACGGCGAAGTGGTACTATCAACATTCTCCGCAGGATAACGGGGCTTATCGAAGTGCTCTACAAAGTGCACAGGGAAGTGTCTGAAGTTGGGCAAATCCAACCCATCCAACCAGACCATAGGTCCAGAACCATCTTTGCCGTGGTCATGGTAGTTCCAGGTCGGGGTGAGAATGACGTCCCCGCGCTGCATCGTAATGCGCCGGCCATGGACAGCAGTGAAACCACCCTGGCCTTCGATAATGAAGCGCATGGCAAAGGCCGTGTGTCGGTGAGCGCGCGCGGTCTCGTTGGGCATCACGAGCTGCAGACCAGCGTAGAGGGTGTCGGTAGTGAAGGGGGCATCTTTGATAGAATGTCAGAAACCGTTATACGCAGTACATAGTAAAAGGTCAAAGGATAGCTTTGTACATACCCCGAGCTGGGTTGGTGAGCATCAGCACCCGGCGCTCAGCCTGGGATGCTGGGACGAGCTTTCCAGCGCGTTCCAAGTTAGGTCTGATGGCGCTGTACTTCCAGACATTTGGAACTGTTGTTGGGTTTGGTGCTGGGGGATTCAAACGAGCCATTTGCTTCCACAGAGGGAGAGTCTTGCTCGCTTCGAGGTCAGCGAGAAGCTGCTCCTCTGTGTCGATGACACTTTCCACTTGAGTTGAAGTCATTTTTGGAGTTGTTCTGGTAATGCGAAGGACCTTTAGATTGTATTGTCTACATTCTACAGAGAAATGATCGCTAAGATATATCTTGAACACTTTCGTAGGATCGTCGGCTCTTGCTAAGGTCCGGGGTAAGATCGGGTAGTCTTCCCCGGTGCGTTCCCAGCCGTGGGGTCATAAAGGCGGGGATCCGACGATATGCGCTGTTCAGGCGCTTCAATTATTTCTCTTTGAAATAGAAAAAATGACAGTAAACAAAATGGTGTGCAATGGTCAGGCCAACGGCCATGTTTCTCGGGCTTCCTTGAAGGTGAATTTCTCATCCCGAAACGGCAGTGTCAGATTCTCATACTTAATGAATCAATAGACCCCAACATATCCGAGCAATTGCCTCGAGTTCTTAAACGATCCATTGACATGTGAAGAAACCATCCCTGCACAGGTCCGCCTAAACATTATCGTCGTCGGCGCCGGACTCGGCGGACTAGCAACAGCCATCGCGCTCGCAAGTTCCGGCCACACAGTGACTATTTACGAGCAAGCACGGGAGCTTGGAGAAGTAATAAATTCCCTGCATTGAAGTTCGTCAAGGCTAATCACCTGCCTCAGGTCGGTGCTGGTATCCAAATCCCATCCAACTCAACTCGCCTCCTGAGCAGACTCGGTCTGGACCCATACCTAAAAGAGTATGTGACCGAGCCCGAGTGCATTTCTTTCCGACGCTGGCAATCAGGAGGTGTCATCGGGCTTACACGGCTCATCCCGAACTTCCAGAAACAGTTCGGCGCGCCGTACTATGTGATCCACCGCGCAAACTTCCATTCTGCGCTGCATAAACGCGCCCTGGATCTGGGTGTCACAGTCAAGGTTGCTTCGCGGGTTGTGGGATATAATGTCAAGGGACCAAGCATTGTTCTTGTGAATGGTGAAACTGCTTTTGCCGATTTGGTCGTTGCCGCAGACGGTATATATATTCCCGTACTCTTGAGATATATATGACCGACGCTAATATTTTATAGGTGTCAAGTCGGTTGCTCGTGGAACTCTCGGCCAGAGCGGCAAGCCCTCATTCAATAAGACCGGATTCGCAGCTTACCGGGCTACCGTGGACGTGGAGCGCATCAAGGAAGATCCGGAGCTTTCTTGGCTGTTAGAAAAGCCAGCTCTTAATATCTGGTTAGCGCAAGTATGAAAGGATCTTCGGAACCCAACTGACCTTTTTGCTAGGATTGGTGATCAACGGCACGTAATGACATACACCATCGGAGCTGGTAAGTCTTTCAACATGGTTCTTTCGCATCCAGATGACAGCGATCCTTCAACCTGGGATCAAGAAAATACTCTCATTGATATGAGACGCGAGTTCCAAGGATGGGACAGCCGGTATGAGCCTATAAACTTACTTGACATTGTCTTCTTATTAATATGCTTCCAGTCTTGGGAAGATTATCGGACTCATCGAACAAACCATCAAATGGCCACTGATCAGTGGAGTCCCCTCATCTCGTTGGGCGAATGGCAAGGTGTTGATGCTAGGAGATGCAGCACATGCAATGCTGCCTTACATGTCACAGGGTAAGTGCAAGAGCACAATTCATATTGATAATAGTCACTAAACCCGCACAGGCGCGGCGATGGCAGTCGAAGACGGCGCAGCACTAGCACGATCTCTGTCCAAAATCGAAAATGCCGTAGACATCCCCAAAGCATTGAGTATTTTCGAGCAGGTCCGCATCGAGCGAGCTGGAATGATGCAGGAGGCGAGTCTTCTGAATGGAAAGCTGTGGCATTTCGCCGATGGGCCGCTTCAGGAAGCCCGTGATGAAGCTATGAAGCCCGAGACTTTGGGTTTGCCTTTCAGTCACAGTCCTAACCAGTGGAGTGATCCAGCGACTCAGATGTGGTGCTATGGATATGATGCCGAGCAAGAGATTGATCGAGCTTGGACGACATCAGAATTATAGAAGCTGTATCCATAGAAAATATACTACTCCCTTTTTTGATGACTATGTATTATGATACCTCATATTTAGGGTATACCTCGTTCCACTCTATCTTTGCTCTCTCTGTACAGCCTCTGTGTACAGCAGTGTTGGATCTATAATGCTCCCCTTTGCTTCTGTTCATCAATATGACTCTAGTCACTGTAGACATTCGATTCCCAGAAGAACACTAGTTCGCACATCGACCCAAAAGATCATGATAGTCGTAATATTTCGTCGTACTACCCATTCATACCCTAGTTTCCGCGCGCATCCTCTCATTTCTCGTTCGGTTAGCTACTATACCCCATCCCGGAACTGCACCCGACAAACCCGGTATACCCGCTCTATCCCCGTCACGACAACAGTAAAGAGCCATATAAACCCCCCAACACCAGGAATGAATGCCCCTCTATTAGCCAATTCTAGTTAAGACAAACCTAAGACCAAGAACAAAGAATCTGAAAACATGTCTCTCCCGTGGAAACGCCTAATCCGCTTCACCGCGACAGACGGCCGCACCCTGCGCGGCGAGCCAATCCTCCTCACCCCAACAACAGACCTAGGCTTTATAACCGAGTCTGACAAACTGCAAGCACGTGTGATTGAAGGCGACGACCTGTACGATACCACGGGCAAAACACGCGTTACCGACGAAATCGTCTCCGTGAAGACCATCCTGGGCCCATTGGCGCAGGCAGATGTTCCTATTCTGCGTTGTGTCGGATTAAACTATGCAAAGCATGGTAGGTATTACTAGTCTTACTAGAATGAATACTCCACCTGGACACAAGACCAGTTACTTATACATATATCCACCGTGTCTATAGTCAAAGAAGCCGGGCGCACTCCACCCCCATTCCCATTCATCTTTTTCAAGCCAAATACCACAATCCACGACCACGGCGCCCCAGTAGCAATCCCGCAGATTGCGCAGGATTCTCAGGCAGATTATGAAGGTGAACTAGTAAGACAAGTCCAAGTCCCCTGGTTACAAACACCCTGTCCTGGGTAATATCAGTATACTAACAAACGCCCATAGTGCCTTGTCATTGGCCGCGACGCCAAGAACGTCTCCCCAGAGACGGCCCTTTCCTACGTAGCTGCCTACACAGTCGGTAACGATATATCCGCGCGCAAGCTGCAGCGCGACCCGGCTCTCGCGGGACGTGTCCCACAATGGGGATTCTCGAAGGGATTTGATACTTTTGCGCCGCTGGGACCGTGTCTTGTTGCTGCGAGCGAGATCCCTGATCCTAGTAAGCTGCTGCTAAAGACGATTGTTGATGGGGAGGTTAGGCAGGAGGAGTATGTCGCGGATCTTTTATTTGATTGCGCGTATTTGGTGTCGTATCTTTCGCAGGGTACGACGTTGCAGAAGGGAAGTGTTATTATGACGGGGACGCCTGGGGGTGAGTTTTATCTCTTTTTGTTCTTGTTTCTTTGGGTTGGAATTGGTTGAAGCTGACTCGGTTTCTTAGGTGTCGGCGCTGGTCTTTCGCCGCCTAAGTATCTTGTCCCTGGAACGCAGATGGATGTTTTTATTGATGGAATTGGAACGCTGAGGAACGGCGTGGTGTTCGATTGAGCTGGATTATATGACTGTTGGTCGTTGATATGATGGGGTTTAGGGCTAGATTATAGATAGGCAAGACATGAAGATCGCCGGAGCATTTGTTCTCAGTAGACCTAAAATTAAGACAATATCTCAAGAGAACTCTATATGCACAGCCTGACTTGGCTGGAAAGAGAAACCCGCAATTGAGCATCGCAGTGAGGCGCAGTTGTCTTAGCATGGGCCAATATAGCCACTAGCCTTGCGTTGCTGTAGTTCATTTTCCGTTTTGGGCCGACTTGGAGGAGTCTCTAAAGTGGAAAGGGGCAACACTAATTGTGACTAAGCACTCACCTACACCCTTTCCCGGTGTAGGTGAGCCCACACCTATTAACAAACCCATACCTGTTAACAAAAAAATCAACATTTCAATTTTAAACCTATTTTTCAGCCACCATACCATCTGGATCTACATATCTAAATAGCTCACTATTAACATCAAGATAATCTCTATCCCCTGATGCCTCTTCTTTTTCTTTGAGAGCCTGATTCGCGCGATGCCAGTAGTCTCGAATCCTTGCGTTCCCAGCCTCATGCCGAATATCCAATTTAGATTCCTTCGTACATCGCCGATACACCTTCGAATTGCCTGCAATTGATGATAATGGACTCTTAGCAGCACCTTTTACCATGCGCTTAGATTTTTTGATAGGAATTTTGTGGCTTTGCATCCTTTTTATCGTTTGTTTTGCAAGTGCTAGGTCTTGGATAGCCTGCTTACCACCACGAATTGCACGGTCTATATGCTTTTGAAGCTTTGGAAGGTCTGGTTCATCGTTCTCGAGTATCAATTGAACCTTATTCTCAACCTTTGAGAATCTTTGATCTGAATTAGGCGGCGAATTCGTTGCCGAACTGGGAAATTCACGGTCTGGTGACGGCGTATGACCATATATCTCAAGGACTGGTTCATCTTCCCAGCCAGGATCAATTTGATCACAAACAATATGTAAATCATAAGGCCAAAGACCTGTATCTCGAAATGATGATTTAATAGTCTGTGCCTTAAAGGTGTCTTTGCGAACTGTTTTGATCATTCGAAGAAAATGTCGTTTATCATCAACATCTCCACCCCATCGTACAATCTCATTGTTCTTTTTTCGGAATTTTTGTTTAAGAACTGAGAATGGCTTGCCATCAAGAGGCTGGCATCGATGTGTTAACTTTGGTATAAACCACCAAGGTATAATGTTGAAGCTTTGGCAAATATGTTCGAATTCCGGGGTTCCATGAGACCCATGATTATCCATAACCAAAATCCTAGGTCTGCCTTTAGCGACTCGCTTTTTAGTGGCATAATGGAAATCTAATAGCCATTGAATAGCAGTTTTATCATCCGTCCAGCCTTTAGCAGTTGGTTTAATAACCCTATAGTTGGTAGGATCATCATCGCCATCGAACCAATCTTCCATTTGTTCGGAACCACGCATTAAAAACCATGGATGCATAACCCAGCCATCGGCAGAGATGCATTCAATGCCGGTAATATTCTGGCCTATTCCACCGGTCGCAATAGTCTCATATTTACGGGTGGAAGCAACATTTTCCTTGGTTCCAATACCAAGCTGAAAGCCAGTCTCATCCCAGTTGTATAGTTCATGGGCCTGGATTTTATTCTTTTTAAGAAACTGGCCAAAAACCTGGTACCAATGAACTAAATCACTATGTAATTCAGCTTCAATCCTTGCTTTTTCCATTGGTTTTTGTGTGCGTAGAGTAATATGGGGTGGTAGGCGTTGAATGAATTGATAGCCGTACATTTTGCCAACCTGCCGGTCGGAACCACAATGTTGTAAAAGACGATTCGCAGCACCCTCAATATCGATAGCAGTTGGCGGTGTATATACTGAATTAAGGTGCTCAATCCAGCGAATAAGAGAGGCCTCTTGTGAGGAATTTAGGGCCTTTTTGGTAGCTGCACGGCCTTTTCCATTTGTTCTACCGTCCTTTCGGTTTCGAAGCTTCCACTTTGAGACGCCAAAATGAGAGGCTGCGGCCTGAATACTAGTAAATTGGCCTGATTTATAGGATTCGAGGGCATTTGAGAGAAGAATCTCTTCTTTTTCGGAGGAATTCGGCATGGTTTTGATGGTAAAAAATAGGTTTAAAATTGAAATGTTGATTTTTTTGTTAACAGGTATGGGTTTGTTAATAGGTGTGGGCTCACCTACACCGGGAAAGGGTGTAGGTGAGTGCTTAGTCACAATTACTCCGTACAGAGGTCTCGTACAAACAAAACATTTCTCGAAAAATAATACCTGAATACTACGACGAATACTCGAGAGACTATTGGAACAAACAAACACGAGTCAAACGAATTGGGTTTCATTCAATGATCCGTCTCCTGCAATATGCCTTATTTTGTTTGTTTGTTTTTTTGGTTTCACGAGCATGATCATCGTAATCATCATTGCCCTGTCGCATGTGCATGTTCGAGGTCTCGTCAAGAGAATCAAACCGTCCATGACTTGCCAGCATGCGCGCAGGGATCGTAAGCATATGTTTTATGGCCGAATGGGGTCCATCAAAGGGTGGTATTGCATAAGAAGACTCCGAAGAGAAGAAAATTCTATGAACATGAAAAATGGGTAAAATGTGAATGCGATCCGCTAGGGACGCGCGAAATGGTAAAAAAATCCAGAGTCAAGAGAGTGGATGAAAGGTTTAAAAAAAAGGCCTGGTCTCTCTGAGAGATGAAAGATTGGGTTCTCGGAGAGACCAGGAAAGAAGGGAAAAAGGTCACAGGAAAGTGAAAAGAAGGGGAAAAAAGAGGGAAGAGTCGTCAAGACCATATCCACTCGCGCAATCTACCAGAGATGTGTCCATTGTTCATATTCATAATCATGGCCATCAACACCAACGCGCGGTCGACGCAGCGTTTAGTGGATGTACCACTTCGCACCATCGACACGGCCCTTGTCCATGGGGGCCAGCTGGCCGAAGAGGTGACGAGACAGATCGACGGAGCCGTTGTCGCAACCCATGCACTTGTCGACCACAATACCGGTGGCGGTCTGGCCATTGTATGTGATGGTGACGGTCTTGCCGCAGTCACTGTCGGCCATGATACCGTGGGGAAGTGCGAGAACGTTCTCAACGGTACCGTCATTGGTAGTGCCACAGGAGCTGGGGTTGGTGGTGGTGGTGGCGGTGTCGTAGAAGGTGATCTCACCATCGCAAGGGGAGCCCTCGGAGCAGAGGCCGGTGCGGGCGCTCTTGATAGTGGACTCGGTGTTGGCGGCAGGGGTGGCAGCAGGGGCAGCGACGGAAGAGGTCGCAGCCTCTACGACGGGAGCGGGAGCGGAGGTCTCGGCCTCCACGGTGGGAGCGGGAGCGGCAGTGGTGGTTGTTGGCGCAGCCTCCTGTTTCTTAACAGGAGCCTCAACAGTAGGGACAGCGGCAGCGGTAGTGGTAGTGCTGGAGGTGGTGGTGGGCGCAGCCTTCTCCTGCTCCTTGATAGGGGCTTCAACAGCGGGAGCAGCGGTGGTGGTAGGGACGGCGTTGGCGACCATAGGGACGACAGTAGCAGTGTGAGTGGCCTGGGGGTAGACGGTGGTGGTGACATCGACGGTGGTCCAGACGATATCAGTGACGGTCTCCCAAACGACGGCGCGTTTAGCGACGGGGGCAGAGTAGCCAGTCAAGGCGAAGAAAGCGCCAGCAAGGGCTAGAGTCTTGGTGATAGGAGCCATTGCGAATGAATCGGGAATAGACTGAGAGAGTGTGTGTGTGATGTTGTTTAAAGGATTGATCAACTGCACAGCAGGAAGATTGGGCTCTCGAAAGGAAAGTGAGCAAGAAGGAAGGAATGTACAGGAAGAAAGAGAATGGGAAGGGTCTCGACTTTATAAAATACCGAAGGTAAGGCACACAAGAGGAAAATGGCCCACTTCAAAGGATACCAGTACCCACTCACCCACCAAACCCATGGTCCAAATCAAGCCACGATCCGTGCCAACTCAATTCCTTTCATTCATTACGCTATATTGTACTAATATCCTACATAGAACACATACACGGAGGACAGAGGACGGGAATGTCATAATCACAACTTCCAGGTACCCGAGCCGGATGCCCCGGTAGATTCTCATTGGAACAGAAAAAACAGACCAGGGGTTTGTGCGCCACACAGGCCATTTTTCTCCTGGCCCTAATCTCTTCTGGGGATAAACTGACGGCTGCTTCAGCCGATCCTACTGCTTACTGGGATCTCACGACCCACATATTTTGCCTCGGGTACCTGATCAGTTGGCCTATCAGAGACAGCAAATATTTTCTTTCTTTTCCAACCTTGGAAGGTTCTTTCTTGGGGGGGATACCAGATCCGTTTTTTTATTTCATATCATTACTGAGATCTCATCACATCTTGCTCTTTAGTCGCCTTGCAAATGATGTGTGTTCCAATGTACACGGTCGCAATGCACCCAGGGGAGGACTGGTCAGAATTCTGCAGGCTGCCTTTTCGCAGTCTGACATGTGTGTATTGTATCGGGCCCCGAGAGGGTCAATACCGATGTAATTGGACAATGCGTGAGACAAAGACGACCTATAAGCCAATCCAGCTGGGATCGGGGCATATTTTACTTGTATGCTATTATTATACAGGTAATTCAATCCTCCCCACTCCCAACGGTCTGGACTTGGTCTGAGTTTTCAAGCCGTTTTTTTAGTTTTTTAGTGGGAGAATAGTGCCGATCTCTTAGATTTCTATTGTGTGAATATCCGGAGTACTCCGTCCAACATACTATGTTAACAACTGTGTCTGCTTGATGAGCCTTGGAATCTAGACTCCTCATTTTCAAGGTCTCATCTGTCTCACTGTAATTCGTATCCAGTACTCCGTACTCAACCCCTCTTCCCAGCCCTAACCAGCCCCGACACAAAATGCAGGGCACAGGGCACGCACCCGGAACAACCTTGAAATGTCCAACAGGACGTGCATAATCGATACCGAGAACCCGATCAGGGTGCTGACTATTCCCACAGGCAATCAAAATGCAATCAAAATGCGCCTAGAGCTCTGACTACATCTCCCCCAGTACCTGTGTATTTCAGACCCAACCGTCCTCTTCCCGAGAGGGGAGCCAGACCCTGTCGCAGCAACGGTACGAGCTCGGGAATTTGGTTGGTATCCATACTTCGGACTGTATTCCACTTCGTCCAGTCCCCTCTGCTCCACTCGACCGAAGATCTCCCCGGAATAGGATTTGGCGACCACGGTTGGATGGCATATTGCAATTGAAATTGCAGATTTGCAGAATTTGAAGGGAGACGGTGGGGAGAGGGTGGGGGTTGCGACTAGGATTGTACTCTGTATTGTAGGGATTAATATGCAAGTATTATGTAACTACGGTGTATGTATGTGGCATGCTAAGCAGGGCTATTATTGCCATTGTCTTGGAATACGGGGGGCCAAGGTCTCATATGGCAGAGGCAAAGATGGCACGTCAATTCATGGGTGCTCGTTATTGTATCTGACTGCCTGGAATGTGAGATTCGAGATCCCGGCCCGGGCCTAAAGAACGCAATATGTGCCAATAATGCCCCGGCAATGAAAACAAACGGGAAATATCTGTTTGTGGGTGGCGAAAGCCAACTTGAAAAAAAAATCCCCGAACTATGAAGCATGTGGCTTGCCCGGGATCCCTGTCGAACCAGCCGAGAGTAATTGACAGTTAACGAACCATTTCATCTTGATTGATTTGACTTGCTTTTCCGGGGGATCAAGGATTGGCTCTGGCGAGTCTTCCGTTAAGTTGAATTCTCGCTTTTGGCCTTGGGTCTCTTTTATTTTCGGCATTGGCATTGCCGCATGCGAAATCGGATCCCGTTTGGCGCCGGTGATGGCTTGATGCGAGTTTCGGGGGAATTCGGTTTGCGTCGGGTTTGCATCTAGTAAGTACAGAGTACAGACTAGCTAGGTAGAGTCTCTATACAACAGGACGATCTACAGTTGGCCTACAAAGTCTACCCTCTACAAGGGAAGAATGAATAACATAACACGTTATTGAAGTAATAAAAAGAATTGTCCAGGAACTAAATACCTGCGTAAGACCAAGACAAGGCTTATAGTCAAGCAGCTGTGCAAAGTACATAGTAGGTTGTATGAGGCACAAAAACAGAAGCAGAGAATATTGTGCTTTGCGCAGAAGTCGAGACACTCGAAGCTAATGTGCGAACCATGACCATCGAAGAAGAGAGAAGGCGTTCTTCCCCTCCTGCCCGCTTGCCAGTATTTTTGCTCGAAGAAATCCAATATAGACCAAGCTCATCGTTTGCCCACCCAGTTTTGGGAATCGCGATTCGATATTCGTTAGGGATGTTGGCTGTTGGCTTCACGGTACCTTATTGGAATAACGTACGGATGTACTCCGTAGTATATCGCCATTTGCGGTGACGCATTCGCCAGATTTCTCTATCGGAACTTGCGCTATTCGTTCATTATACGAAAGGCAGTTTCATCAAAGTTATAGATATTCATCGGACGAACACTCTCAGTCGCGGTGTATGGCTCAAGTTGATAGAAAGACTGCTGAATGAGGCCAATATCTTCGGCGTGTAGGTTGGCACTAGCCATGTCATCCGGGGAGGAAGAAGAGCTCTAGAGAAGAGGAAGAAATATTGGGGGGGGGATTGAGGGGGGTTTATACTCTCAACATTCGCACCTTCCCGGAATGAAAAGTTCCCCTTCTTTCCTATTTTGTTCTTGTCTCGTGGCATAATGGCACCTAAAACCATGGAACAAACGATCATGTAGATGCTCCTCCCGAGATCACTTCTATTTCTTGGATATTCTTGGACGAAGTGAAACATTCCTGTCTGTGAGCGCAACCGCTTGTAAGGCATGTCGAATTGGCGTGCTAAATGGGTAATTTCCTAATCTTTTTCTCATTGTATGAAGCAGTGGCTGATTCCATACGTTCTTCTATAGAGTCGGATGTGTTCAGCATCGTGGAATAAATGGCATACGAGATGGTTGCTAGAAATTATCAGGAAGCGTGGCACTATGAACAGGGTCTCCAATCCCGCGAGCACAGCGGGCCCAGCGGTAATTTGGGGGCGATCATTGGACCGATGCGGCCTGCGATAAGGCTACCGCGCGTGGAATATCATGTGAAATTGGTGCCCTCTGGCCGCGCCAACCATTAGCAACTCAAGCCCAGCTAATGCTGCTGCCAGCGTCGCCTAAATGACTCGAGCCCATCATGTGCCCTCAAATCCCAGCGGGTTTATGTCGCTAGACAAGTTCGTCACAGTGGGGATCCAACGAATATATCGGCCAACCATGCTTTAGCAAGGCGCGATGCTATAGGGGCTAGGCTCACCCTTCCCTGCCGGCGACCAGCCCACATATTCGCCTTCGGCGCCTCTGGGAAAATTAAGAAAGCACGGTCGCCTCCTGCACGCTCAGGATTGCCAACGCGTTCTGCTGTCTCTATCCCGATGACAACTGAGCATGGTGTTTTCTGCATCTAAATTACGCTTTGTACAGGTCCTTTTAGTGTTGTTCGGGGTTGCCTTCATCCTCTTTAAGCTACGATCGAGCACAACCGCCCCCACCCAACAGCTCTGGAGGGACCATGATTGGGACAACTTCGATGCCATCAAAAACGAAACCCTTGGGGTATGGTTCTAGTTCAAGCTTCACCTGGAGATCTTTCAGCTCATGACTATTTAGGTTCAAAAGGTCTTCGCCATTAACCTTGTCAGCCGGCCTGACAAGCGAGACAATATCGTTCTGGGCTCATCCCTCAGCAATTTCCACGTCGACTGGATCGACGGTGTGACTCCGGATGAAGTAGATGCTAAATCCTATCCATACGTATGTTTTCTAAAGCTACACAATACGCGCGACGACTGACTTTTCTAGAACTGGAACCATGGCCATAAACGGACCGAGTACGCTGCCCGACGGGCGCATGTCAACGGACTCCAGCGGTATGTGGTTGAAACTACAATATTCGACTTCAACTAATTATTCCCTAGAATTGTCCAGGAGAGATTAGCGAGTGCTATTATTATGGAAGACGATTCTGACTGGGATGTATCAATCAAAGTCCAGCTTGAGAGCTTCGCCCACGCAGTCCGAGCCCTCCAGCACCAGGATACCCGGAAAGTCCCGACTCAGTCACCGTACGGCGACGACTGGGACATCCTATGGTTAGGCCACTGCGGCATGTCATGTAAAACTGATTTGCCATTTTACCTTACGCCGAATGACCCAACTATCCCAATGCCGCATCACTTTCTCCCCCAGTGGCGCGACCCTCCAGCATTCGAGGGGTACGAGAGACTCAACCACAGTCGACTTGCGTGCACAGCAAGCGACGCAGTCTGCTCGATGTTTTATGCCGTGAGCTACAGTGGTGCGCAACGGATCCTCGCGGCCCTGTCGGTTAACCCGTCTGGTCTTGCAGAAGAAATTGATATTGGAGCCCAGTTTGATGTCTCCCTCGGACGCATGTGCGGTAATGGTTATTTGCGGTGTTTTGCACCTTACCCATCTATCACGGGGGCTTCCATCAGGCAGGACCAAGAGCAAAGTCTTCTGATATCCACGATGAGACCGGTGGGGAAGAAGGCTTTTTCAGCTGGGGCGTGATGTATAGCACAATGCTCAATATCAACCGTATCCTGAAGGGGGAACGGACCGTTCATGCAACATGGGGCGATGTCGATGTGTTGGATGTCATTCCTGGAGAGATCACAATGGAAAAGGGGGCTGCTTATAGTCCTAAGAGCAGAACCTAGACTTAACAGAGAGAAACTGCTACATGGCGGTGAAATGGACTTTATAGATAGTAACGTATTAGACTACGGATTATAAATTTTCTGCACTCTTACACTAAATAGTAATCATTCTTAGGGCATCCATGGATGCTTTCTCCATGTGTGAACTTCCATGTGGAAAAGGATGGAATCTGAAATTCCCCAAGGGACATCAGGAAATAGCGTGTTTAGATGTAACGAGGTGGCGTCGCTCTCCAGCGTCTAGCTGAGAACAAAGTACGTGTGCTCCTGCTAATTCTGCTAATTCTGGCGCAATCACTAGGCCCTTTGGAATTGGCGCCCAAAACTGATTGCCCTACCCTAAGGCAGTTTGGATGGTGTTCACGAAGATATCTACGGAGAGCACTGCTCGGGTTTTCTTCCACAGGGCATCGTTCTCACAATTATTGGCGATTTGCAATGATAGCCTTTACATATATCCTTGCTAAGGGTAGACTAATTGGGTGCGTTGTGTCCGATTCTGCCCCCGTATTTCCCCAACACCACACCCTTGTCACTTTAGCGTAGTTGAGTCGATCACAGATACAGTTAGATCAACTTATCTCGGCAGTTTCTGAGGCCTAGTTGCACCGTTCATCCTTCTCCTGCACTAACCCCTGCCAGCAAGTTCGACCTGGTTCACTTTAAGTGCCTCTACGGCGCCTAAAAAGCAACTAATCAAACGACGCTACGAGGTCAATAGACAAGCATGTTGGCCTCATCAAAATAGCCCACCCCTCTCGCTCGGGGCCGTGTGTTTTCCTATGTGCCTCGAGCCTCTAGCCCACCGTGCGGCTCATATATCAACTATAATCGCTATCCCCAAGTCACCATTTCGGTTTCCGGACTTGAGTTTGAGGCTCGCTTCGTCATGCGTCAAGTTGGATTTCTGATATTGTTCCTCGCGGGTGCCGCCTCCTTTGTGACCGGAAGTGACAATCACAATTATTTCACGAACCCAGCCTCCAACAGTGGCGTGAATCCTGTCTTTACACTGGGTGACAAGCTGCTTGTCTCATGGAAGACCACGCTTGATGTGTTCAACGTCTCTATCTGGCAGCAAAGCTTAGTAGAGACAGGTGCCGCCAGTCAGGGAAATATATTCTGTTGGTTTCACTTTCAAGGTTGCAACGCGCGATGATTAACGTTTTCTAGCCAAAATACATTCTACTGATCAGGTCACCAACTTCACATGGGTTGTCCAAGTGTACGGATTTGATCTTTCGTACTCCAATGTCTTTTTTCTCTGGATCAACCCAGATGAAAAAGGTGGATTTGTTTCTACGTACTTCAATGTCACCAAGCCTACCTCTACTACCAGCACTGCGTCTTTGTCCACATCCGCATCTACATCTCCATCTACGAACATGCCAGGCACGGCCAATAAACCCTCCCCCTCATCGTCATCATCTTTTCCGGAATCAGCTTCACCACAAACATCCGAGTTAACCATGACCGGAAAGATCGCAATCGGAATCGGAATCGGTGTTGGAGTCCCGATACTGTGCGCTTTGGGTGCTCTTCTTTGGCTCAAGACAAGAAAATCCGATGACAAGAGTGACAAAACCATATCCCCGCCAGAAACAATGCCGCCTTGGATGGTTATGCAGAACCAGTATGGGCCACTATCGCCACCCAAGGAGGTGCATGGATCGAGCCTGAAAGCCTCTTTTGCTGAGTTACCCCACCAGCCATATCGGTGAAAGGAAGCACAGGTGATACGTGTTTTGTTATGGCCTATACGAGGACGGATGACTTTCATATGGATGCCCATAAGCGGGAGATGTTACACTGTGCTTACTATATTGGGTCGAAGGAAACATAGTAGTTGTTTTCTATAGCCTTGCTTGTAAAATATATCGAATCTTGTCGTTTAATCAGGTTATAGTAAGAAAAATCGCATCATATATACAATAAGCTGAATTCCTCGGAAGAAAGTTGCTGATAGTAGGTGGGCACTCTATTTCTCTTAGGGTCAGTGAGTGAATCCAATTGAGGCTCATCTTTGCCATCGAAACACCAAGGTATGTATTCTCGGACTTTCCCTGCTCTACATCAGACAACCAGCCAAATTTAAAGCGATCGTGAACAATAAAGATGCAGCGTTCGACTAAGCTAAGAGATAGAAAGGGTTTATGTGTTAGTCGATGACATTTTGTGTCTATAGACAGGCCCACAGATGAGACTAGTCCTGTACAACAAGGAATATCTACACATGGCCTACGAAGTCTACAAGAGGAAAGAATGTATAACATAACACGTTATTGAAGTAATAATAAGAAAATCCAGGAAATCTCATGAACCCACGCCGAAACACACGAGACAAAGGAAAAAAAAGAAAAAAGTCCATCAAAATCATAATATGGGTACACGTGAGAAGCCACGACAGAAGGCACAACCATGCACAAAACTCAAAGGGAAACATCCAAAAGCATTAAAGGCAAAGAAAGCTTAACCCTGGCACATGATGCAAGCATCCTTGTTCTCGATGCTGCACTGCAGGGCCGCATCGGAAAAGATATCGCCCTCGACTGCCCTGCTCTCGGCATCTTCAGGCTCAGCTTCAGCATCAGTATCCTCGGTCTTAGCTTCGACAGCAGGAGCAGCAACAACAATAGGTGCAGCCACAGTGCGCGGGGTCTCCTCGACAGGGACGACGACCTTGGCGGTAGCGGCCTCGGCGCTGTTGGTACGGGGAATAGCCGAGTAAGCGGAGGTACCGGTGCCACCGGTACGCTTCTTAGAGCGAGCGATGTTGGTGTCCTCGACGAGGAGTTGCTCCTGATCGACGGTGAACTGGATAGGGGCGGAGGCGGCCATCGTACGCAGGTAGTACATGCCGGTCTTCAGACCCATCTTCCAGCCGGCGAAGTGCATGCTGGTGAGCTTGCCCATGGTGGGCTCCTTCAAGTGGATGTTGAGGGACTGCGACTGATCGATGAAGGCACCACGATCGGCGGCCATCTGCAGGATGTTGCGCTGAGAGATCTCCCAGACGGTCTTGTACAGGGCCTTGATATCGGCGGGGATATTGGGGATGTTCTGGACGGAGCCACCATCGGCGATGATGCGGTTCTTCATGTTATCGGACCAAAGGCCGAGGTCGACCAGGTCCTTCAGGAGCCAAGGGTTGACGACCTGGAACTCACCAGCCAGGACACGGCGGGAGTAGATGTTCGAGGTGTAGGGCTCGAAGCACTCGTTGAAGCCCAGGATTTGACTGGTACTGGCAGTAGGCATGGGAGCGACCAACAGACTGTTGCGGACACCAGTCTCGGCAATCTTGGCCTTCAGGGAGGCCCAGTCCCAGAGATCGGTGGGGGTGCGGTCCCACATGTCGTACTGCAGGATGCCTTGCGAGACGGGAGAGCCAGGGTAGGTCTCATAGGTACCCAGCTTCTTGGCAATCTCGGCGGAAGCAGTCAAGGCACCGTGGTAGATGGTCTCGAAGATCTGGATGTTGAGCTGTCTAGCCTCGGGGGAGTCGAACGGCAGACGCAGAGCCAGGAAAGCATCAGCAAGACCGTTGACACCGAGAGCGATGGGGCGGTGACGGAAGTTGCTCTTCTTCGCCTCAGGAACGGGGTAGTAGTTGATATCAATAATCTTGTTCAGGTTGTGAACGAGAACCTGCACGACCTCGTGGAGCTTGCCGAAGTCATACTCGCCTCGGGCAGAGTCGACATAGGTGGGGAGGGCGAGGGACGCCAGGTTGCAGACAGCCACCTCATCAGGGGCACTGTACTCGACGATCTCGGTGCACAGGTTAGAGCTGCGAATAGTACCCAGGTTCTTCTGGTTGCTCTTCTTGTTGCAAGCATCCTTGTAGAGCATGAAGGGGTTACCAGTCTCAGTCTGAGCCTCGAGAATGGCGTACCAGAGCTTCTGAGCCTTGATGGTCTTGCGGCCACGGCCCTCCTGCTCGTACTTGGCGTAGAGAGCGTCGAACTCATCACCGTAGACATCAGCCAGGCCGGGGGCCTCGTTGGGGCAGAAGAGCGTCCAGTCACCGTTGGCCTCAACGCGCTTCATGAAGAGATCAGGGGTCCACAAAGCGTAGAAAAGGTCACGGGCGCGAACCTCCTCCTTACCGTGGTTCTTGCGCAGATCGAGGAACTCGAAGACATCGGCGTGCCACGGCTCAAGGTAGATGGCAAAGGCACCAGGGCGCTTGTTACCACCCTGGTCCACATAGCGTGCAGTGTTGTTAAACACACGCAGCATAGGAACAATACCGTTGGAGGAGCCGTTGGTTCCACCAATGTAAGAACCGGTAGCGCGAATGCGGTGGACATTAAGACCGATACCACCAGCAGTCTTGGAGATCATGGCACAGGTCTTGAGAGTATCATAGATACCCTCAATACTGTCCGCGCTCACGTCAACCAGGAAGCAAGATGCAAGCTGGGGTTGGGGAGTAGCGGCATTGAACAGAGTGGGGGAGGCGTGAGTGAAGTACTTCTGGGACATCAAGTGGTATGTCTCAATGGCCTTCTCAATGTCCTCACCGTGAATTCCGACAGCAACACGCATCAGCAAGTGCTGGGGACGCTCGGCAACATTGCCGTTAATCCGAAGAAGATATGAACGCTCGAGGGTCTTGAATCCGAAGAAGTTGTAGTTGAAGTCACGGTCGTACACAATGGCCGAGTTGAGCTCCTCGGCATGCTTCATAACGATCTCGTAGTGTTCCTTTGAAATCATAGGAGCAGCCTTATTGTTCTTGGGGTTGACATAGTGGAAGAGATCGGAGATGACCATGGAGAATTGCTTTTTTGTTTGCTTGTGGAGGTTCGAAACGGCGATACGTGCAGCCAGAATGGCGTAGTCGGGGTGTGTAACGGTCATGTATGCAGCGGTCTCGGCAGCCTAAGATTGAAATATTAATATAACCTCACAAGCTGAGGACAAGGAGGAGAACATACCAAGTTATCAAGCTCAATGGTGCCAACACCCTGGTAGACACCAGAGATAACCTTCTGGGTGATGGCTGCGGCATCAACGTGCTCGGGGTCGAGGCCATAACAGAGCCTCGAGACACGTGCGGTGATTTTGTCGAACTGCACGCGTTCCTTGCGTCCATCTGCAGTTTGTATTCGCGTTAGACCTTGATCAGAACAGTGTGGCAAGACCAGGTGGATGTGGCGAGATGAGGCAGGAGAAGCTATCTCTTGCCACTAATGCCTCCGTGTATCAGAGGATCATGTATAAACTTACCTCTCTTGTAGACGAACATTTTGAATAGTGATGAGCTGGTAGCTGAAAAGAATAGAAAGAAGTGAACAGGGTATCAAGATGACAGTAGCAGGAGAATTGAGATGGTATTAGAGTATAGAGAAAGGGGGGAAAGATGAATGTATGAAGCCCGTAGAGGGGTGTGAGAAGAAGAAGAGATCAGAGGGGCAGAGGAATCTTTGGTTGCCGAGTGGACGCGTTGTCTTTTCGCGTGCCCGCGTTTTTTCAGCTTACCAACAGGGGGCTCCACCTTTTATTTCAACCATCAGAAACCTCCATCCTGCCAGGCAGAAACAGTCATTTATACCAGATACAGTTAGCGCATTGATACTAATGATCTTAGCGTGCATTTACTAGCGGGGATACAGAAGGCGGTGTGAGAGGAGAACAGGCGGTGAGAATGGGCCTTGCAGCCAAACTGCAGTTCGCGAATGGTCACGTGAACACGCGAAGGGTCGCGCATGGGAGCATGGCATCGGAAGGGTTGTCCCGAGCGGCCTGAAACATTCCGGGCTCAGATGATCTTTAAATGGTACTGCTACCTAGAATGAAGGGGTCCTTGACAGAGGTTCACCCCGCCATGTCCTACTCCGTGTCAACATCATATGCAACACCGGGAGGCTCGATCCCAACCTTGGAACCCTTGCTGCATTGCACATCAATGTGATGGATCTACATCGAACTTCTCATCAAGGGGCCAAGAGGTGCGGGGATGGCCTCAGAAGTACTTAGTATGGACTGTTCGTTCTCGTCGACAAGGGGAACATCCTGGCATCTTTTGGTCATTGATTGAATTCGTTTGAATCTGTTTACATCGACCGACTGATTGGCAATTGAGGCAGACCTAGACGTTTTCAATAATTATTCTGTGGGAAGGTGAAGAGCACATAAATCAATGTGATTTTTGGCAAATAAGAAGATAAAAGTTCAAGGGATTCAAATATTGGCATCAGACGAGCAACATATTAGAGAATTCGAACCAGATCCCTGAACAACAACGATGATTCAAATCAGATCGAAAGGAGCAACATCAAGGTTAATAATATATGCTCGCATCGATATTCGCTGCTCTCAGTTCATGCCAGGTCCTTACAGCAAAGCAGCAGCGCCGAGGAACACCGCGGCAACAAAGGTGGTGGCGGAGAACTGGCGGTCGGACGAAGCCGCGTTGAAGGTCGGAGAAGCGGTCGCGGCGGTACCAGACCCGGAGGCGGTGCCAGTGCCGGAGCCAGTGCCAGTGCTGGAGCCAGTGCCAGTGGCGGCGGCGGAGGAACCAGTCGCAGTGGCAGAGCCAGAGGAGACAGCGGTGACGAAGCCGGTGGCAGTAGAGCTCTCGGAGGTGCCGGTAGAAGTAGAGGTAGCGGTGGAAACATCAGTGGCTAAAAAGAAGATAATAAGTAACCGATTCAATGATGTAACGTGCTCTGGGGTATGTGTTGATCCTTACCAACTTTGTGGCCGAGCTGGGCGCAGTTGTTGACGAAGAACTTCAGGGAGGCCTCGCTATCGGGACAGTTCTTGGAGATATCGGACTGGATCTTGCTGGCGCCCGAGCCGCAGATAGCCTTCGAATCGGCCGGGTTGGCTTGGTTGCTAGATGTCATCAGCTCAGGACTCCACTAGGCATTCCTTCCATTCCTTCGAACATACCCGATGATCTTGAGAACACAGGCCGGGGTCTGCACAGTAGTGGCAGTCACGACGTTAGCCAAAGCCACAATGGCAACGGCAAAGATGGACTTGTTGAAGAGCATGATGAAAGATTGGAGATCAGAGATTGGGAGATTGGAAGTGATGAAAGGATTGGATTCAAGATCGCACAGCGAGTCTGGAGTAAAAGAATGTGTTGGGCTAAAGAGCGACTGTTAGAGAGTGTGGAAAAGTGGAAGACAAAGAGTGACGAAGTGGTAAGGAAGATAAGGTCTCGACCAGAGGAAAACGGGGGGAAAGAGAGAAATCGGGCAACCGCTGTTTCATCACAATATGGAAGCCACGATGGGGGTCAGGGTCTGTTACGTTACATCAACAGGCTTACAGAGATGTACCCCTATTATGATAGCTTAGTATTAAAGGTACTTTACAGTACCTGTTATTCTAATACAAGTATTTTTTGTTCCCCATGGCTTGTGGCACTTTGGCTCCGAAAGCGGTTTAGCGTCAGGGACCTGTCCCCGGATATAGGGGAGAAAGCGTGTCAGTTCGTCTGAGGAGTGAGCGAATATATGACAGTTGTGCGACTCGAGAGGTTAAATTTGAAAATATCCATCTCAGGGGTGGTATTCTGTAGCATTCTAGGTAAGACAAGTGTTTTCATCTTTTTCCCATTAATTTCATGTGTCTTAGTGGCTGATCCAGATAGGGATTAGAGGATTCGAGCTCTATTAATAACTTCAGATACCCCTGCCTAGGTAGGGCTAGATGTACCATAACAAATTAGCACAAGACGTGGACCCTAGAAAACAATAAGATGTACTCTGTACTAATGTGGTGGAGCCAATCCTACGTCTCTAGTAATAGGCTTCAATTAGAGACTAACATTTCCACTAACGCATATCTATTCGTATTGTGCTGTAGCACTCTCATAAACTTGCTGTAGCTGTGACAAGCTTGCCATCTTGCCATTAATCACATTTAAAGCAACAATTTGATTGTTTCCGGGCCGAATAAACTAGCCCTGAAAATAGATAGCGTTTAAGCATGTTACCCATACCTCGCCGTCAGAGGAGAAACCATCCCCTGACAAGTAGGCAGACGCAGGGGTCCAAAAACGAAAGGACATTCATTCATGGCCACAGGTTCTACTTGCTAGCTACAAAATCCCTCTGGTCTGAGTTTAAGTCTGGATTGACCTCCATGGAGTCATCAGCTTATTCAACTCGAAGGTCTCTTCATCCCATCCATACAAAGTCCTCAGCCACCGGCCATCGTGAGAACTCGATATCCTTCGATCTCTTAGGGCGAAGGTGAGAGAAAACGGGCGTAGTGCGGAGACTATTCGCACATAAAACAAAGTTAGGACACTCATATCAACATAGTATTAACTCTGTACATCATAAGCCTTCGTCAAGATCAAGACATTGCCCACTTCTCATAACTTCTCCCAAACAGGATCAAAAATACTAGAAACAACCTCCTGCACCGGCAACCTTTGATCCACAATCTCCCTCCCATTAACCAAATCATTCTCTCTAGCCCTCTTGTCAGCCTCAACCTCATCTCTCGCGATTCCCGCCTTAACATGCCTAACCACCAATCTCTTCCTCGCAATCTCAAAATCAACATCCACAAACCAAAGCTCATCCATCAACGCAGCAGCCGATCTCCACGGCTCCCGATCCAAGCTAAGATAATTCCCTTCAAAAAACAACACCCGACAACTCGCCGGAATGGCAATATCCCCATCAACCGGATCCTTAATAGCATGGTCAAAGCTTGGCGCGTAGAGACTTCCCGTGCGGGCCGTAAGCGGCTCTCGCAGAGCATGCACAAGCTCGAGGAACTTCTCGCCGTCGAAAGTAAACGCCGCGCCTCGTCGGGCCACCGCGTTCACCGGGTCTGGCATGGCGGCTAGCTGTGCGCGCGTCAGATGGTACCCGTCCATTGGGAGGGCGATGGCTATCGGTGTTGGCGTTGTTGGGTTCTCCGAGGCGTAGATTTTGTTAATCCGCGCTGCCATCATCGTTGCTAGACCTGTCTTGCCGGAGCCTGGGATGCCGCTGATGGCGATCATTAGACGCGCGTCGTCTGCTGTTGAGCAGAATTTTGCTAGGGTGGTTTGTTAGCTGGACGTGTTATAGCGTTGGTGGGAGTGGGATAGAAGGCGTGTTTCAAGCCTGTGCTTGTTCTTGGGATTTACTTACCCCAGGTCTTGTTGACCAGTCGGTCTACCTGTTGATCCATGGTTGGCTAGTGAGATCACACTGGAATCAAATGTGTATGATGGAAATATGAAAGCTTCTCCCTGAATTGGTGGGGTTGCGCAAGGTGTTGTGGTACGCTTGAATTTTGGCAGATCGGCGTACAGGGCAATGTTCGACACGGGATCTAACTACTTCAATTTGTTGCTGTTATATGCTTTGAGTTGTTAGACTAAGCCTAACTTCCGGGGCTCGAACATATTGGCGGGGCTCTGCGAGTGGGGACTGCTGTACTCCGAGGAATACGTCACTGAACTTCGCAGGTACAAAGAGTATTTATATATACGATTTAAACACTAGTTGTTTTATATTATCATCCTCTAGACGGTAGAACAATCAAAATATCCGAAAATGCGAAAATATCTACGAAGGCCAGGTCGACGTAAGATAAGCGTGGAAAGACCTAGGAATGGTCGTTGGTGTCCGTTTGTTCAATGATAATCGAGAGTAAACCGGACAAAATATGGACACAAAGAATGTTAAGATCACAACACAGCCTCAAAAGACCTGTCAAACGCCGTCGCAAATCAAGATAGAAAACAACCCATGTAAAATTCGCCCAAAAAAAAAAAACCCCCATTGCCAATATCGCCAATATCAAATCTCATGTCATTCAGTATCACCACATGGGCAGCTGTCTTCAATTGTTGCGGTTGGTTCGAGAAGCGCCCTCGGTGTCGGTGGAGTCCATGCTCGCACTGAGACCACGGTCCAGAGTGCGTGCAAGGCCAGCCGCGGCCCACCAGTCGTCGGGAATATCCTCACGGCGGGCAAGTCGATCCAGGATGACCTGCATGTGGTGGAGATCATCATTTTGGTGGTGACGATCGGAGAGGGAGAGGTTTTGGTGGCGCCTGTCAGAGAGAGCGAGAACGCGTGCAGGAACTATTGTAGGGATAGGAACGGGAGGATGATTGCTCATAGTCGAATGCTGATCGGGATAACGGCCTGGTCGTCCCATGAATTCCTGGAAAGTAGAGGGAGGATCCTCGTCATCGGAAGAGAAGTCGCAAGGGTTGAGTTGGTCAGGATAGGGGTCAAGTTCGAAGTGAGCACGGGCAGCTTCCGCGGTCAACGGCTCCGTCAAGTTGACAGAGCTCCGAGGACGAGCATTGCGCGAAATATCTGGAGCAGCGGCAGAAGTTGAGGTGAAAGAAGTATTAGTTGATGGAAGAGTCGCATCGGGTGTAATGGTTGAGAGCAAAGTCTCCCACGCATCGGTTTCCCGCTCTCCGTCTGGACTGGGACTGCGTTGGCGATCCCCAAGCCCGTCTACGACAGGGTCTCGGGCTGGTCGAGTTTGTGTGTTGTTAGACCGATGTTCAGGTATCTCTGGTGGGAATGAGGTGTTGGAGGCGCGATCACTGTTGTATCTTTCACGCAAAGGGGGGAGACGAACGCCGCTGTCCGAAGGAGTCGAAGAAGCGCTGGTGTGGTATGCGAGAGCAGGGGCGAAGTTGGGAGTCAATGAAGGGCTGGCATGGGTATTTCTGGGCTGACCGTCCATGCGACCGAGGAGGTCGGTCAAGGCCTGATCACTATGACTCCTGAATCGCTGGCTGGATGTCTCTGTCTGTCTGGGTGCACTCGCGGCACGCGACTGAGCCCAGACGAGGGCCTCACGTTCGGCCTGTTCCAGAGCCACTGCATTCTCAATAGCCCCGTTTGGCGGTATGAAAGAAAACCGCGGCACGCGTCTGGGTTCGGCGGCGCCGCGTCGGAGCTCATCAATGATCTGTGAACGAAACGAAGCCAGGATATCGGCACGGCGCACGCGGGAGCTACTGTGCCGCGAGGGTCCGCGGCGAATCGACGAGCGTGCAGTAGCAGATGGGTCCTTTTCCAAAGCAGACTTGGATGCTTCGGACTTGGAAGGCTCACGCCACATACTGTAGATCAAAGTCAACATTGTGCCGCGAAACAGTGGCGCATGCGATAGCTTCACGCGCCATAAGGATGAGATGACTTACGGGATACCCATTTTGCTTTTTGGGCAGAAAAAAATCGGAAAAAAAACAAAAGAGGGTTGAAAAAGAAGGACAAATAATGATCAAAAGGGCAATTATAGAACTAGAACACGACTTGCGATAACAGTGGAGATGGTTGATGGAGACGGGGAAGATAGATTGGGTTTTTAGAGAAATGAATGCCTGAGGCTGGGATGGTTAGAGTGGCTAGAGTGGCTGGGTCACGTGTATCTTGTTCAGGTATCTATCAATAGCAGGTATGTTTGTGCGGTGTCTTTTTAGCAATCAATATCGAGGGTCTTTTTGTAAAACTCCTGGATTGTATTAACTGGTAAATGGCTGGATTTTATAAACACCTCTCATATTGTAGTACAGAGCGAAGAGCCTGATGCCCAAGGCATGGTTATATAGAATATCACGTGGGCTTATTCCTCCGATCACGGTAAGCTCCAACCTTTGAAGGAGTACCGTAGTCTCCGCTCATTCTGGGTTTGCTTTACTTATTGACAATGAAGCTTTAAAGTCTTGAATCTGCCTGTCATTACCTGATCATTCGGTCGATAATGACAATTGATCTCGAAATTCCTATCACGCTACACTCGGAGGAATGATTGAGTTAGGATTGGGTCGGGTCGCGAGTCTGCTTCAGCAGACTCCGCTCTCATGGAAGTCCATTCACATTGCTGGAACCAACGGTAAAGGATCTATCAGTGCCTACCTTTCCCATTTGCTGTCCACCGGCGGAGTGCGTTGCGGCCGTTTCACTTCCCCGCATTTAATTGACCGGTGGGACTGTATTACAATTGGAGAGAAAGTGGTCCAAGAATCCCTTTTCCGGCAGATCGAAGACCAAGTCAAACTACGAGATCAAACCCTAGGCATCGGTGCCTCCGAATTCGAGTTGTTGACCGCAACGGCATTCGAGATATTCAACCATGAACAGGTCGAAGTTGGTGTGGTTGAGGTGGGCATGGGAGGCCGTCTAGATGCGACCAATATCCTGAATAATGTTCTTGTCTCGGTCATTACAAAGATAGGGGTGGATCACCAGGCCTTCCTTGGATCAACGATTGCGGAGATTGCTCGTGAGAAGGCGGGCATCCTCAAGCCCGGGGTCCCTTGTGTGATAGACAATACAAACAGTCCGGA